TCCCTCCCCGTGCCACGCATGCCCCACTCCCCCCCCGTCCCCGCACCGCAGAGGAGAGGTCGCTGCTATCGGCAGGGTAGGAGCCAAGGGTAGCGTGTGCCTGGCGCGTGGCGCAAGCAGGGCAGAGAGGGATCTCTTGGTAAGGTTCAAGACGCGCCTTCTCGAGTCGCTTGAGCGCAGCCATTCGGAGTCGGTAGAGAGCATCGTGAGACGGAATTCGCAGGCATGCGTGAGCACGACGACCCAAATGTCTCTTTCATCCAATGTTCAGTCCCAAGCAACACAAAGATGCACGTCCCCATCGTCCCATTGATCAGCACGGGCTGCCCCGTCATCTGGTAGTCGCACGGTACGAGCGGTTGGTGCGGCGGAAAAGCCGCGTCGCCCCCTTACGACGCACCAGCAACCTCTTCACCTTCCTGTCTACATTGTGCGATTCCACTTTGGCAATTGCCGTGAACTACGGCGTGAGCCAAAACATTAATATTGTGGCTCCTGTGGGTCTAGGCGTGCCGCGATTAGCACTATAACGCCGAGCGACGTTTTGCATCACGAGCGCCGCGCACTAGAAGCCTTGTGCAACCGCGGTTGCACTGCGGCTATCGGAATGGCGTACCAGCCGCCGATACAGGCGGCTTACAGTGAGTAGTGCGTTCCGCTGTTGGTACGGACCGTCTCTGCACGACAGTAGTGCGTGAAAGGGCGAGATGCTCCGCGCCCCTTCGCAGAAGCCCCGACCGAATTGGCTGAGTTGGAATTAGCAGCCAGTGCCTGTGGGCCTCTGGAAGGGGTAAGGAGAGAGAGGTGAAAAAGGGATTAAAGGCAGCGCTCTCCAGGGGGAAGAGGACCCCGGCAGAGCGACATCGCCATTTCTGTGTTTTTGCCTAAGTTCGTAGAGAGACGAGCACGTTTAGGAGACGACCCCGCGGGCAGTGATCCCAGATCAGTTCCCTTCGTCTCCTCGCAGCTTCCCTAAGCGCTTTCGTTTTTTGTGACCTGTCACAGTAATTACTTGCGCAATATCGGAAACGATCAAGTGTTAGCGTGAGGAAGGAAAAAGTGAAGATGACGAACGTGAGCAAACCATCATCCACTTCAGATGGAACCGTGCGGCAAACCATCATTACCAACTTGGAGGCGCCACGCCTGGAAGGAGTGGCGACCAAGTATTTTACAGCATTCTTGAAGAAGAGAGATCTTTACGAGAAACAGCTTGCTGAGAAAAATCGTGAGCCCGGTGTTCACATAACCCCGACGTCCTATCGTGCTTCGATCGACGACTCTTATCTCCGAATTTTCTTGACCGCCAAGTGGATTAAGGCGGAGTCCCTAGAAGCCATTTCAGAGGAACAGATCAGAGAATGCGTAAAAGAGAAGGCTTCCTATAAACTCGAGGAGTATGAGCTTGACCGCATTGACAATCTTGTCAAGGATGTGAAGATGGACATGTCTCTCAAAGAAGCGGAGGATCGGGTGTGGAGTCTGCATCTTCGTTATCTGGAGGTCCTAGAGGCGGCCGGACTGGCTGATTTACCAACCAGGAAGCCTCATATTGCAATCAAACACATCCTCAAGCGCATCAAGCCGTTTCGTCTGCGCAGCCGCATTCGATCAATTCTACAGTGGCGCAAGGGTGAAGACTTTGGCAAGAAGGACTTTGGAGCTTTCATGCGCGTGTTGGCCGAGCAGGCAAAGACCCTCGAGATGGAGCAGGTATCCCGTGAGCAGCAAATGGCCTCGAGCAGCGACTCGGACCGCTCGTCCGAGGAATCGAGCGGAAAGCACGATAAGCGTCATCGGGTTACAAAGAAAGGCAAGAAAAGCCGTCGTGGCCGACGTGGCGACGCCAAGCGTGGCGTCAGCTCGGGCCAGGATAAACACCCCAAGGACAGCCTGTCGAGCACTGAAAGCAAGAAACGTAGGAGTTTTGCTCCGAAGTGCTTCAACCCGGCTTGTGACGGGTATCATTTTATAGATGATTGCCCCATCTCGTCGGAAGAGCAGAGGCGCAGGTACAAGGATGAATACCGTGCGCGTAAACAGCGAAAGATGAGGTTTGATACGGGGTCCGGGTCGGCCGACAGGCAGATTGGTCAACGCAAAGGTAGTGTCCGTCGCATCGGCGCAGATGCCATAGACCCCCATTCGTCTTTGTTCAGTGCTACTTTTATCGACAGTGCCGTCGAGAGTGTGATTATGGCCGACCAAGGGTCGGACGGGAACATCATGCCTCCAGCTGTTTTTGACATGATCGCTGAAGCGGCCTCCAATTTGCACGTCGCCTCTTTGGTGCCGCCGCATACATACTCTTTCGTGGATCAGGACAGGGGGCTGACATGTCGCCGGAGTATGACAGCCGATGTACACCTCCGCATCAGGCACGGGGTCAAGTTGGTCCTCCGAAACATCACCTGGAAGGTCAGCGACCAGCCCGCTGAGTGCGTCATCATTGGTCGAGAGGTTCTCCAGGCAATTGGTTGTGACAACAAGGCCATGCTTCAGGCGCGTGCAACAAGCACGATGGCGTCATAAATGTCCCACGAGCACTGGCAGTCGACGCCGACAATCGCCGTCCGGCAGATGGCCGAATCTCTGCCATTATGAGGCAGAATCATGGCACATATCACAGTCAGGACGGAGCTGAGGAGGATGACCTTGATGGCACTGGGGTCTACATAGATCTCGGTGACGACCCGGAGGAAGACCTAGATGCAGCCTTGGAACAGGCTGTCCAAAACGCCCGGGAACAAGGCATGTCCGAGAGTGGGACTGCTGTCCTCCGAAAGATCGTGAAGGAGAACCGGTCGGTTTTCGACTGAGGCTGGGGAAATCCGACCCAGCCCGAGTGCCGCCTATGAAGGTACAACTGTTACCAAACAAGAGGCCGGTGAAGGTGAAAGCTAGGCGTTATCCTACGCATCAGCGCGCCTTCTTAAACGAGTATGTCCAGAAGCTCGTCGAAATGGGATTCCTCATCCCGAATCCCGATGCGGAGTGGCAGGCCGCTCCGCTACTTGTCCCGAAGCCTGGTTCAAAGGCCCAGCTCCGCCTCGCCATCGACCTCAGACCGGTCAATGCAGCTACAGTCAAGCAGGCGTGGCCCATGCCACACCTCGACTCCGAGGTGCAGGACTTTGCGAACAGCAAGTTTTTCGCCACGCTAGATTTCTGCTCTGGCTATTGGCAACTCCCCGTTCACCCAGACTCGTACAGTGCGTGCGGCATTGTTTGCCCAAATGGTACTTACTCATCAACGCGCGCCCTCCCCGGGCTAACTACTGCCACATCGTATTTCCAGTCCACCATCGAGCCCCTTTTTCAGGAATTGAGACCTAACATGAAGGCCTGGTTGGACGACTTTAATCTTCATACACAGAGTGAGGCTGAACTACTGCGCTGCCTGCGGCGTTTCTTCGAGATATGCAAGGAACGCAACCTTTTTCTCTCGGCACGCAAGTGTAAGTTTTTCGCTCGTGAGATAAAGTGGTGTGGGCGTATAGTGAGCGGGAACGGTTACTGTATGGACCCAGCGCGCATCGAGGGCCTACGGAACATGTGCACGCCCGAAACTGCTGATGAGTTGTGTCAGTTCGTCCACTGCTGCCGGTGGATGGCGGTGTCCATCCCTGATTTTGCCCGCCGCGTGGCCCCGCTGGTGGACATTTTGGAAGAGGCTTACCGCGTAACTGGAAGACGCACGAAGTGCTCCATACGGGGCCTGTCGTTGCGAAAACTATCCTGGGGCGCCGTTCATGAATCTGCGTTTCGTGAATTGCAGAACAGCATTCGCAACGCCGTGCAGCTGATGTACCCGAAGACTGGTAAAGTCATATGCGTCTACACGGACGCATCGCAGCGATTTTGGTCTGGTGTGGTGACACAGACTGATCCCGAGCAGCTACGGCTTCCGGTAGAGGAACAGAAACATGAGCCTCTGGCCTTCTTGGGCGCTGGTTTTAGGGGTGCAGAGCTAAACTGGAGTACCTTCGAGCAGGAAGGTTATGCTATATTCCAGACTTTTGACAAGGTTGACTACCTTTTCCTCAGTGAACAGCCTGTGCATGTGTTCACTGATCATCGCAATTTACTTTTTGTATTTGCTCCTCTGGCTTTGGAGCCCGCTCTAGGGCGTCACGTGATATCCAAGGTCCAGCGATGGGCGCTTTTTCTGTCGCTATTTGACTACTCGATCGAGCACATCGAGGGAAAGAAGAACGTTTTTGCAGATATGCTGACCCGTTGGACTAAGGGATATCGGGTCGCGAGACTGGCGACACGCAGAGTCTGTAGCCTTTTCGTGACTGCTGAGCAGATCGTGCCGTCGCCGAGTGATATTTCGTGGCCGGATCAAGCGGTCCTACGTGCGTCGCAGCAGCGCGCCCCCTGCCAACCGAAGAGGCTGACGATGGGGAAAGACGGATTGCTGAAGAAGGACGGACGCACATGGATCCCGGCTGAGGACACAGAACTCAAAACGAAGCTGCTCGTACTATCACATTGTGGCTCCATGGGGCATCGGGGCCAGGATGCCACGGAAAGCGTTCTGCGTGAAGATTTTGTGTGGGAACGTATGAGTCACGACGTCGACGCATTTTCGCGCGGTTGCCTGCATTGCATGGTCACAAAGACAGGAGAGATAGTGCCGCGGCCTTTTGGTCACGGGCTTCATGGAGATAGACCGAACGAGGTCATGCATATGGACTTCCTTTTCATGGGGGCAAGTAGCAGCAGCGTCAAGTACCTCCTCGTGATCAGGGACGACTTGTCATCCTACGTGTGGCTATGGCCGGCTGCGGCCGCCACAAGCGATGCAGCGGCTGAGGCGTTGGCTACCTGGATCGCTGTGTTTGGTTCCATGGAATGGTTGGTGTCAGACCAAGGTCCACATTTCAAGTGCCGACTCGTGCGCGATCTGACAGAGGAGCTCAAGGTGGGCCACCATTTCACAACAGCGTATTCCCCCTGGGCAAATGGGTCCGTTGAGCGTGTCTGTCGAGAGGTTCTGCGAGCCTGCAAGGCCGTGCTTCATGAGTTTCGTTTAGCACAGAAGGACTGGCCCGCTGTCACAGAATGCGTTCAGTCGGTTCTAAATCAGTCCCCTCTCAAACGTCTTGGCCTAAGAGACCCGTCGCAGTCCGGAGTCTATCGCACACCGCTGGAGATGTTCACCTCACATCTCCCCACGAGGCCGTTACTGCGTGCGTTGCCCCTCGAAAAATATGGAGAAGTACCCAAGGTATCCGAGGTTCGTGCTAGGCAACTAATCAATATTGACGAAACCCAAGGCGCTCTGGAAGCCATGCACCGGGATGTTGGAGAACGCGTGACCGCCGCTCGCGCTAGGGCCGTATCCCAGCACAACGCCCGAACGAATGTTCTACCGGCTAACTTTGAAGTTGGAGATTTCGTCCTGGTTCGCCGCGCTCAGAAAAAAGAGCATAAACTACAATTCGTGTGGCGTGGACCTCGAAGGGTAGCGTCCGTCGAGTCCGACTGGGTCTACGTGGTCGACAATCTCTTGAATGGAAAGCGTGAGACAGTGCACGCAAGACGTCTCACGATGTATCGCTCTGGTTTTGACGAAAAACCTGTTGATCCCAATCTCCTTCGTGCAGTGGAACACTCCGAAACGACGTATCAGGATGCCAAAGCTCTCCGAGATATTCGTGAGACAGGCAATGGCCTAGAAATACTTGTCGAATAGCAGGGACTACCTGATCAGGTAGATCTCACGTGGGAGACGCTGTTGCAGGTTTATGAGGACCTTTCAGGATTTTTGGAAGACTTCCTGAATTCCTCGGCCAAACGCAAGCTGAAACAAAAAGCGCTCGGCTTATGCTCGCTGAACTAAAGTGCTTGTTTTCGTTGCATTGATTTCGCTGTACGCTCTGGTTCTACAATACAACCACTCTCCCATCCGCCAACTGCACACTTCATGGGGAACTATAACGCCGAGCGACGTTTTGCATCACGAGCGCCGCGCACTGGAAGCCTTGTGCAACCGCGGTTGCACTGCGGCTATCGGAATGGCGTACCAGCCGCCGATACAGGCGGCCTACAGTGAGTAGTGCGTTCCGCTGTTGGTACGGACCGTCTCTGAACGACATTAGTGCGTGAAAGTGCGTGAAAGGGCGAGATGCTCCGCGCCCCTTCGCAGAAGCCCCGACCGAATTGGCTGAGTCGGAATTAGCAGCCAGTGCCTGTGGGCCTCTGGAAGGGGTAAGGAGAGAGGGGTGAAAAAGGGATTAAAGGCAGCACTCTCCAGGGAGAAGAGGACCCCGGCAGAGCGACATCGCCATTTCTGTGTTTTTGCCTAAGTTCGTAGAGAGACGAGCACGTTTAGGAGACGACCCCGCGGGCAGTGATCCCAGATCAGTTCCCTTCGTCTCCTCGCAGCTTCCCTAAGCGCTTTCGTTTTTTGTGACCTGTCACAGCACGTGCCGCCGTGCACCGAAAGAGAGGCGTTGCAAGGCTGTTGCATGCAGCCTTCCCAAACCCGCTCCGAAAAAGCGGGGCAAGCAGGGGAAGCACAATACGCCTCGCTGTGGTTTTACATGTGCGTGCCGCAAGTAGGCAGAGCTATGAGTGCGTGTTCTCATTGAACTCTACTTCTCAAAGGAGCAGAAACCAAAAGATTCGAAAGAAACGGATTGAGAATATTGAAGATGGGAGAAAGCCTCGTGGTCAAGTAGTCATCCCTCGTATTGTAGACACTTCGCTAATCCCATAGATGTTTCCACGTAAACGAATCGACAAATTCATTTCCGTCTGCAGGTGCTTGACACTGAAGGGGTAACGTGCTTCTGCTCTATTTGTTGTTCTAGATTCTTACAACATGCTTCAAGCTTGATACGACGGGTCTATTCACTCTTCGGGTTGCCTACGATCCCAAACTTGAGACGAGATTGTGGAAATATTCTTCCATCGTTGGGTGCTAGAAGTCATTTACCCCTACAAGAAGGAACGCGCTCATGGTTCAAAACTAACATTTACGAAGTTATAACTTAGCAACATCACTCAACGTCCATGTATAAAACGGCGTTCCGCAATGTCCCACTCTCTCCCTCCAAGGCGAGCACTTCAACATCCACTAATCCGCTCCCAGCCGGAACCGCACATTTAATCTCCATCTTCGAGCTCATCATCATAGCGCAGGTGTTTCTGCCCACCATCACGCTGGGGTCCATGCCAAAGTTTGGCCCTGCCACTTTGATCATCGTGCCTCCATTCTTCCCGTGTCGCACTGGTGCGAAGCCCGTCACGGACAGCTCCGCACGCATTGACACATCTTCTGAGTGTAGTAACCCAACGGCTCTACTGCAATTTAAGACCATCAATCATGAACGGTTCCAAGCAATATTTTTATGCAAGCTAGAGTAGTTAGCAGTTGAATTGATACTTTGGAGCACTGAAAACTAACACACCCACTACATAGAGCCTTCCAACTACAATTACAATCCGTTTCTTCCCTCCCGCTTTTGGCGCTTGAGCTTCTCGATAACTCGGAGAGGCATGAGGTATTCCTCATCTTC